AAGTCACATATAAAGGAAAACCCATTAGGATCACAGCTGACTTTTCAATGCAAACTATGAAAGCCAGAAGAGCCTGGACCAAAGTATTCCCAGTTTTAAATGACCACAGATGCCAACCCAGATTATTATATCCAACATAATTAAAGCCATATATAACAAACCCACAGCCAACATCACTCTCAGTGGAGAAAAACTGGAGGCATTCCCATTGAATTCAGGAACCAGACAAGGCTGCCCATTATCTCCACTCCTCTTTAACATAGTACTTGAAACTCTTGCAAGAGCAATAAGACAAGAGCAGGAAATTAAAGGAGTAATAATTGGAAAAGAAGAGATCAAATTATCCCTTTTTGCAGATGATATTATATCTGAGATGCCAAAAATTCCACCAGAAAACTCCTAGAAATTATTAACGCGTTCAGTAAAGTGGCAGGTTACAAAATTAACTTACAAAAGTCTGTAGCCTTTCTATACAGCAATCACAGGCAATCAGCAAAACAGTACACAGAAACACTCCCCTTCACAATAGCTGCAATATATATGAATAAACCTGACCAAAGATATTAAAGAGCTCTACAATGAAAATTTTAAATCTTTAAAGAAAGAGATTGAGGAAGACATCAAAAGATGGAAGGATCTTCCATGCTCATGGATGGGAAGAATTAATATTGTGAAAATGACCATCCTACCAAAAGTCATTTATAGATTCAACGCAATGCCAATAAACATCCTCATAACATTTTTCATGGAATTGGAAGAAACCATCCTAAGATTCATATGGAAGCACAAAAGAACTCGGATAGTCAAAACCATAGGTTAATTTTGTAACCCTGAACACTAAGAGCAATGCCAGGGCGATTACTATACCAGATTTTAAGCTGTATTACAGAGCTATAGTCATAAAAACAACATGGTACTGGCACAAAAATAGATACATAGATCAATGGAACAAAATTGAAGACCCAAATATGAGTAAATCCAGTTTCAGCCACCTGATATTTGACAAAGGGGCCAAGAATATTCACTGGAGGAAAGACAGCATGTTCAGCAAATGGTGCTGGTAAAACTGGATCTCCACCTGTAGAAGAATGAAACTAAACCCCTATCTTTCACGTTGCACAAAAATCAATTCCAAATGGATCAAAGACCTCAATGTAATGCCTAAAAGTCCTCAACTGTTAGAGGAAAACATTGGGAAAAACCTACAAGATACAGGTGTAGGGAAGGATTTTCTAAACTGGACATCAATTGCTCAGGAAACAAGGCCAAGAATCAATAAATGGGACCTCATTAAACCAAAAATCTTCTGTATATCAAAGGAGGCAACCAGGGAAGTGAAGACAAAACCCGCAGAATGGGAGAAAATCTTCACCAGCGACACATCTGACAGAGGTTTAATATCCAGAATATATAACGAACTCCAAAAACAAAGAATCAAGACAGGAAGTAACCCAATTAAAAGATGGGCTAAGGAACCAAACAGACAGTGCACAAAAGAAAAAGTAAAGATGGCTAAGAAGTATCTTAAAAGATGTTCAACATCACTAATAATTAGGGAAGTGCAAATTAAAACCACTTTAAGATTTCATCTTATCCCAGTCAGACTGGCT